ACTTCAAGTGTGACCAACACCAGCACTTATGATATGATGTAACATCCCTTATTAATTTTTACGTTAATTTCAAAACTATTGAGAATTTTATGATTTAACACAATCCTAACCTAAGGATTTTGCGCTGCTATGATAGGCATAACTGTTCTATATATTTAGCCCTTATTTGATCATTATTGTTTTTAAAATATATTTTTCTCTCTTATTTTTAATCACACATTCTACAATAAAATAATATTACATGCAAATCTAAACTTTTATTTTTTTTACTTTTTAACCACACATTCTCCATCAAATCACTGTTTCAAAAATGTATTTTTGACAAAAAAAAGAAAAAGAAAATGGAGCTCAAACTTGCTCTTAATTTAAATAATGAGATGATCGCGAATCTGTATTACAAGCATGACTAGAACACAAGCACCTACGGCCTTATTTAATTTGTATGCTAATTTCAAAACCGTTGATACTTCAACGAGAACTTACCAAATGAATTTGCACCGTTATGATGTTTCGTATTGGGCACTTAGTCATGTCACACGAACAATTACCAAATATATTCGCACTGCTATGGTTAATGAGTTGGAGAAATCCACTTGTACAGAACTGTTTTTTCTGTCATTTTGACAGAATACTCACATGGGAGTGGGCCCTATGCGACTAAAATATTATTATAAAAAATGGGGCCACCCCAATGTGTCTATTCTCACTAAAAATGTCTTAACTAAAAAATGTAATTGTAGTATTTTTTTTAACGAGTTTTGTAGGGAGACTTGACTTATATTCCATATAAAACAATGAGATGGTACAAGTTATGGGATGCTTTTGTCACATAACCATGCTATATAATATAAGTAAAGATGTGATACAATTTATTAGATATTTTTTGTTTCTATATGGCACGTTGGTTGGTTTCAAATCAACTTCCGGAAAAGGTAGGCGGCGAGTGGCAACAAAGACTTCTTATTTTTATTTTTTCTTTGAGAGGAAAATCAACCTAAAATTAGGAATCAAGAAATTCAAGTAAAACAGTCATCCAACCAATTCATTGCTAAAATTATTGCGGATATCTTCCATCGAAATTCGTTGACATTTTTCGATATAGCTAATATAAGAATTTACTAACGAAAATAGAAATGAACAAATCCATCGAAACAAGTCATAAATCGAACGAAAAATTCCGTTTGTAAGTAGGTTTACCAATGGCATTTCGATCTTTTATCGACAAAAAATATTCATAATTGAAGCCGCATAATTTAATAATGATATATACACTAAAAAAGCTTAAGAAGTCAATTCGTGAATCACTTTATTTTCCTCTCTAAAATTGTAGTGTCATGGACAACTAGGTTTGCAACTCTTGGTAAATTGTACATGGACAACTGGCAGTTGCTTGCAGGCAGCTATGTGACTGCTGCCTGCATTTACGAAAAAAAAACTAATAAAAAAATTGAGTCGGCTCGACTCATAAAGGCTCGAGCCCGAAAGTTGGGGTGGAGTCTAAAATTTTTGGCCCGAGCCGAGAAGCTCGGACCTGTTTTGCTAGAGCCAAGCCCGAGCTTTGAGTTTCGGCTCGTGGCTTGGCTCGTTGACATGACTACTTAGAGTTGAACGAGCAAGTAATGTACTTTGCAAAGATATTAAGAATTTATATCTAAAGTACTTAAATATTATTTAATAATTCAGATATTAAAAGACTTTAGGATGTGATTACATATCGGAAATCTAAATAACTTAATATGGATTATAATTAACCATAATTAAGAAAATTTCGACAAAAAAAAAAATATAATTATGAGCAAGTATTTGTCTCGGACTGTTCGAGAATAACACAATTAGATGCTCCTAATTAAAAATTAAATATCTGGCTGCTGGCAATATTAGATTCCCATGTTGTCACTTTGATGAAACATGACTTAGGATCTCCGTTGGTGTAGCTTTCATGAACAATCATCTCACCGACTGTCTTAAATAGTGCAATTTCATTAACAATTATAGAAATTGTTTATGTGTCACAATCAAAGCCAGCCACTGAATGAAAATACAGCCTTGCTATGTGTACAGAAAATGACTGTCAGAATTTTTACAGAATACATTTGACAGATTTCTATTGAAAAATGGCAAAAATAAAAACAGACTTGAGCATCAATTCGTATGTACAAGGGGAATTGTTGACGAAAACAATTGAAGAAGCTAAAGAAGAAGATTTCAATTGAAAGAGTAAGTGAATGATAAAACAAGGGTCCTCTCTTTTCCTTTTTAAGAATTTAAGAATTTATGGGTTGTACTTTATTTAATATAATATCATTAAGGAACAAATCATGGGTCTCTATTATTGAAAAAAAATAAAATATGTATTTAGGGTTAGGTCCTTTTCACTTTGACAATGGTTACAAATTTGCGTCGTGTTAGTAGAATGAAGTTACATAAAGAAAACCCAAATAAGGGAACATATTGGCTATGCCCTTGTTTGGAGACTCTTTTTTGAAGCTAATCACATTTGTTAAGCCCTGTTTGGTTTGACTAAAAACCAAATTTTAAGATAATTTTGATAAAAGTTAATAAAATGTGTGATGAAGACATTGATAAAGGTTGTAAATCGTATAAATTATGTGATTGAAAAAAAATGAGTTAAAAAATTGAGACCAACATGTACTAAAATTGCAAAATGGTTTAAAGGTTCAATCATTTAACAGTTTGTCACGTGGCAAATTGTCATTTGACAATTTAAAAAATAAATAAATTTTCCTCTAACAATTTTTTTACAATAAAATCAATGTCAAGCACGATGTACACTTTGAAATGTACAAATTCTTAAAGATTTAGACCGTTCAATCTTAAGAACGCTAATAATTGATTTTATATTTTCAACTTTTAGTATCAATTGGAAAATTGAAGATTAATACTTTCCATGATATATTTGGCCTCCCTTTTTTTCATTCATTTCCAACTAAAATTCTCTCGTAAAATAATTAACCACACATTCACAAAAAAAATTACTATTTCAAAATACACTTTCCTCAAAAAATGAGGCTCAACCAAGGGTTAATAAGGTTCCGTGACTCAAGATGTTAAGCCCTTGTATGGTTCAGCTTAAAAGGTAAATTAAAATTTGATTCAAAGTCAATAATTAAATTCTATATTTCGTAGGATTCATAACATTTCATTGCACTTTTCATCAACTTTTATCAAAATATTCTATAAATATAATTTTTATCTAAACCAAACAAGGGTTAAATGTTGCGATAAAGCTGAATATGCAGTTGAAAAGTTGATAATAATTATGAATCTAATGAAATGTATAATTAAAATTTATGCTTGATTTTGATTTTGATTTTGACTTTGACTTTAGTAATTTTTGAAGTTATCTCAAATAAGTTAATATAGTCGAGAATTTTCTATTTTTATTTTTAAAAGAATACGGTCAAGATTTGAACTCCATATAATATCCGTGGTCTGAATAATTGATGCAACAATAAATAATTGAGTTCAAGTAACGCACGTATGGCTGAAAATGTACTATTTCACGAATCCTTCCTGGATACATGTACTACAAATCCAGCTATAAATATTTATAGGATTTTCTCATATATTTAAAAGATGGATAATTCTTGATGTACATCACTATGTACATCAAGGTGTTCATAATGGACACTCGGTGCACTCCCATTGGTGGGGAAGCCGGTCCCACACGCTCCCCCACCAACGGGAGAGCACCGGGTGTCTATTATGGATACTCTGATGTACCCCTTGATGTACCACAAGAATGATCCTTAAAAGATTCTTTCTTTGAAAAATGTGACTTGTACACTCTTTTGTTGATATTATAATCGTCGGCGAGTGTTTATTGGATTAAAAATCTGTCTAAAATTTAAATTGTCCAACAGCGTGTTGCTACGTAACAAAGTGTAAAAAATAATGTACATGTAACATGATTATCTTTCTTTTAACCATCAAACGTTTCACGACACTTAAGGACCATTTAACATGATTTTTTAAAAATCAAAAATTACTTTTGAATCTGTTTGATTTGATTAATTATAAATAAAAAAATTATTATTAAAATTTTTTTAGAAAAAAACTGACATAATATGACTTTGTTTAAATTCTTCCAAAAAAGAAATCTTTTTTAGAAATTAGCATTTAAAATTTAATTAATGTAACTATATTAAATGACTCTTTCACCAAAAAAAAAAAAAAAATAGAAGCAAAAATCGAAAGTCTTGCCAAGAGACCTTTAATTGTTACTGCAACATAGTTGAAAAAGACAATTGGGATTGTACACGAATCACATTCATAAAGCATTTTCAATACAACAACTGACTTTAAAAGTAACTTTTATTTTTATCGCAATCTTTCTTGTAAAACACTACAAAGTAACTGCAAAACGACATTGAGGGGACGATTAGAGAGTTGAACACGATTCATTTCCTTAAATAATTACGAATCTTTCTTTTATGTCCCTATTTGATTGCTATTATTTTGAGAAAATGAAGTTTTAAATAGGATTTTTTTTAAGAATGTATAACTAAAAAGTAAAAAAATGTTTTGAGTTTACGTACATAATTAAAGATGTTTGAAATAATGATTGTCAAACATGGCCAGTTGAGGAGTTGTTCTACATAAGTCATTTCCTCAAAGTAAAAGTTCTAAATTTAGGGAAAATGAATTTTTTTTAAAAAGTATTTCTTCTAAAATCCTTTTTCCACTATGAAACATAAAAATTTATAGCTTGTTTGGGAATGATTAAAATTTAATTAAAATTGAAAATATAGCCGTTATTGAGTTCCACACGTCTAATAAAAGTCAACTCCAACGGTTATATTTTCAATTTTAATCTGATTTTAATCTCTCCCAAACAATATTTATACAGGGGTTGTGGGAAGGGCAAAATGCAGATTTCACGATTGAAAGTACTTCCACTTTACTAATACTGTTCAATTAAACATTTAAATCGATTCTTTTATTTTTTTAAAAAAAAATGGAAAAAGAAAAAAAGAAAAATGAAACACGTAATGTTCGTCTATTTAAACTCAGTTGATGCCTCCATTTTTCCTCCTCCTCTCTTTGCATTCTTCGATCACTGTATAGAGAAATTGCAGTCTGCAGTTTCTCTCTTCCTATTTCCACGTTAGCCCTTTGATTCTCTGCTCTGTCAATCCTCATTCGAATTCCGGTATGTTCCAATCTTGGGTTTAATTTTCTATAGCAGGGTTTAAAGCACCCGTGCATATGTATATTATGTTCGTTGTAGGTGATTAATGGGTTTAATGAATTAATGCATTTACATTTGAAGGCTAATGTGACTTTTTGTTTATGGGCTTGAGGACTTGTGGTTTTTGTTTTTAGTATTTCCATTTTTTGCACACATTAATGTCAGAGAAAGTGATAATTTCTTGGATTTCAAATTCGTGAATGGTTCTATTTTGATGAATTTGCTTCTTAGTTTATTTTCTGGAATTTTAATTTTTTCGATATTTGGCTCAACATACAGAAGTGATTATGAAATTGCCAATTTTTCCATTTATATAGATTTTGTCAAGGAATTGTGCAGGATTCCTTGCCATGGCAACTTGTATATAGAGTTAAATCTGAATTTTACGTATTTCAGTTACCTACTCAAGATCAAGATGGAATACGAGCATCGATATGGGCAGGTTCAGAGATCAAAATATGATTGTCTTCTATTTGGTTAGTGTCTTCTGAATTTACAACTAGTTTAAGTTTCTATATTTGGGGAAAAATGTTACTGAATCCGAATTTGTACTTTTTCAGATCTTGATGATACTCTTTATCCCCTCAGTGCTGGCCTGGCTACAGCAGTTCTTAAGAACATTCAAGGTAAGATTGTTTCATACTGTTCGATAAATTTATGCTATGTTTATATGGTGTCTGATTTGTCGTGTATATGTTTTACAGATTATATGGTTGAAAAGCTTGGCATAGAAGAGAGCAAAATCAATGACTTGTGTAATCTACTGTACAAGAATTATGGTACTACAATGGCAGGCCTTAGAGTAAGTCTTTCTACTAGCGTTTATTAATAGCAACAGGATTTTATAGGAACCAATTATTAAGGGATATTTTCTATGCAGGCAATTGGCTATGATTTCGACTATGATGAATACCATAGGTGAGAAAGCCCCATACTTTGATTGGTTTACTTATTTCAAGTTTCAGGTCATTTTATTGAATCGTGAATTTTCCAATTCTGCAGCTTCGTCCATGGGAGATTACCTTATGAAAATTTGAAGCCAGACCCTGTTCTTAGAAGCCTTTTGTTGAGCTTGCCCACTCGAAAAGTTGTAAGTCCTTTGTCACAGAGTTTTTTCCTTTCTAATACTGAAGATTACAAGTGTATGGATGTATTCTTACAGAATATTAATGTTATTGTATTCATTGAGGAACAGATCTTCACTAATGCTGATAAGGTCCATGCCATTAAAGTTCTCCAAAAACTCGGTTTGGAAGACTGTTTTGAAGGGATCATTTGCTTTGAGACTCTGAATCCTACACACAAGGGCACTGTATCTGATGACGAGGATGATATTGTGTTTCTGGGGTCCGCACAATTGTCTCGTCCCCTTAGCACAAGCCCTAAGATTTTCGACATAATCGGACATTTTTCTCAGCCTAATGCAGAATCAACAGGATTGCCAAAGACTCCAATTGTCTGCAAACCATCAGAATCTGCCATTGAAAAGGCTCTTAAAATTGCCAACATTGATGCACACAGAACAGTAAGATTACCTTTCCATTTTTCACATTTCATTATAAGATAATTCTAAACAACTTGAATATACTCAAGCTCGTCTTCATGTTATCCGGCAGTTGTTCTTTGAGGATAGTGTCCGAAACATTCATGCTGGAAAACGCATAGGCCTAGATACTGTACTTGTAAGTTGCATTGCCTAACGCCTATCCATAACCTAAGTCTTGCACAAAATGTTGTTATAGACTGAAAATTCGCTCAAATTTGCTTGCAGGTCGGGAAATCTCAGAGAATAAAAGGAGCAGATTACGCATTTGAAAGCATCCATAATCTGAAGGAAGCATTACCGGAGCTTTGGGAAACCGATAAGGTTGCTGAAGTTAATTACTCGGGTGTCGCAGTCGAGACATCTGTTACAGCTTAGGTTCTTTGTCCATTCATAGTATGTGATATATCCTTAATTCTGTCACCTTCATCAGATGATGTACATGTTCTGTTGCTATCATCAATTAATATAGACTTTTCTTCAAACATATCTTGATAATTTAGTATTATAAGCCGCCTGCATCTCTGGTCATAATCAATCAGTTTAATCATATTACGAGGCAGAACCCCTTGCAGATTACGCTGGTGTTCAATAATTGGGTTTACACGTGTAATTAGATGTCAATATTAATTCTCCGCTTAGAGAAACAAAATTCGACGTGTAATATACTAAACTTGAATTTAATATATGGAGTTGCCAAGATTGTTGTTGTATTATTGTTATTAGACTGTTCATATGATCCCAACTGTCACGTTATTATGATTGATACGACTAATAATACTTCAATTTTATCATTTTTTGCCATAATATTGGGAAGAATTCCATATTTAATAATTGGATCGACATTAAAATTTGAAGTATTACTCATGATGATCACGATCTCTGTTAGATGCATTTACAATTGACACGTTCAAATCCAATCATTGAGAGCACTTGACATTTTCTTGGTACATCATTACATCTTTTTGCATTTGTTAAGGAATAAGGTATGCAGGGTTATTGGCTGGCATGCCCAATTATTCGTAGTATGAGGTGTACAAGCTGAGAAACTGTCATTTATTTTTTTTGATGTCTCAGATGTCCGAGTTTCGTCCGACTAATTCCGGGGAATGGTGGCCTTCCCCCCGGGTTTGCGCTGAGAAATTCTTATTTAGTAGGGTGGCTATTAGAGAGAGAAGATTAAATAAATGGAATTTTGCAGTAGATGTCCCAAACTTTTCAAAAATATGCTGATAGGTTTCAATCCAAAAGATCGTTATTGACCCAAAATAAAAAATCTGCCATTTTTTGACCAATTTTAATAAGAGCAAAAATAGTCCTTCCATATTTTTCATTTAAAACAATTAAAAGAAAATTAATTAAAATGAATAGAATATGAGGGGAAAATGGGAAAATGGTCCTTTAGATGCACATTCATTAAAGTGGGATGTAGATGTTAAGATTAGAAAGTTCGAAATTTGGCGGCATATTTTTTAAAGACTTGGGACCTCTGCTAAAAATTTCCCTTAAATAAATGAGAAACCTAAAATTAAAGTCGAAAAGCCAAGTTGAAAGGCAACTTTGAATATGATTATGAAAAACCTAAAATTAAAGTGGAAAAGCCAAGTTGACAGGCAACTTTGAATATGATTGGAGTTCAATAATTGACAAACAACAATAATACTCTTATAGATAATTTAATCATAAAGGTTAATCAGCAAGGCAATCTCATGCTTATCATCTTAAATCGAATAACAAAAGCTCGAAGTGCATATAAGTCGAAACATTACGATAATCTCGAACTCAACCGATCCGCACGAAGACGAACAAGTTGCAAAAGGCCATATGTTGTGCTAAACAAGATAAAACGCCTAAGGTCAAATATGATTTCGATTTTAATTACATTCAAAAGCTAAACGTGACACAATATTGCTCCACCTCACAAAAGACACGACTTAAAACCAGGGGCGAATCCAGGGCTCGAGTTCAGATAGGACGGACGGCGAACACTGCACGCTTACGGTCAACGGTCAACGTCCGTGATAGAGATGTTGTTTATTAATATTTAATTAAATAATATTCAAAAAATCGTACGGACTAGAACTAGAAGAACTAAATACACCACTAGAACTAGAACTAAGTACCAATTTTCATTGAGGATGAATAAATCGTTGTATAATCTGAAAAATGTTCTAATTTATTTTTCAATCAAACATGCAATATATATTAACAAAATATCAATATTCAATTTACAATTAAAGTTAATTAAACAATCATTATTATATTAACAAGGTTTGAAATTATTTATGTGCTTATATCAATTTTATGTACTTGTGTGATTTCACTTTTCCGCAATCGATTTTTTTGTGAAAGAAAAGTGGAATTTTCTATTAATTAAATAAGTTTTGTTGAAAGTCTCCTTATGACACTAAGGCCAATTTTTTTTACAAATTCATTCGTCATTAATTGACCAAACTCTCAAATAAATTGATTAGAGAAAAAAAATAATCAAGAAGAGGGATATATCACCGGTTAAAATGTTTCTGTTTGCATTAAAACTTGTAAAATGAACATATATTATTTTGTTTCCTTAAGTGTGACAAATTAATGCTTGTCATGATTGTAAATCTATCAATATACTTTAGCAAATGTCATAGGTTCAAATCCACTTTGCACTTGTTTTCGATAAAAATCGTTTACAAAAATTATACAATATATTGGCATTGGAAGGTTTCGAACCCGAGACCTCTGGTTTAATAGAGGAAACGCTAACCAACTGACCTAATAAGGATGATTGTAAATAAAATGAATTATCAGATATATAATATAAATCTTTTATCCATTCTCAACAAAATTTCTTTATTCTCGACGGTTCCAGCTAGGGCGGCCGCCCTAGCTCACCACCCCTACTTAAAACCCTACTAAAAAACAAAAGAGGTCATAATTTACTGAAGAGTTCCCACATTTTACACTTCACCTAAGTGTATGACTTCAAATATCTAGGGAAAGCCTTGAAATGTAACTGCTGCAAAGAATGAGTTGTTCTATTTTCATGAATCCAACCGATGTAGGGCAGGGGCGGATCCAGCATTTTCATTCAGCTAGGGCAAACCGTTGATCGTTGACTGATGACCGTTGACCAATCAACGATCGTAATAGTCGAAAATAAAATTCAATACATAAGTAAATGCACTAAAACGTAAAAAGTATATACATATGATTTAATTGATTAAAAAATGCCTCAATTTATTTTTCAATTAAAATTGATTAAAAAACAGTGTACACGTGATTTAATTGAGCCAAACATCTTCTCCATTAATTTTTTTCACTTATCCCTAAGTTTCCTAAAAACCTAAATTCTCAAATCACAATTCAAAATTATAAGTCACAACTCATAAATCACTAATCACAAATTCACAAAAACTATAAAAAAAAAAAAAAAAAAAAANAAAAAAAAAAAAAAAATCATAGTCACAGTCTCACAAATAATTCATAGCATTCATAGCAACTGCCAAGTGCCAACCAACTAGCCAGTAGCGAAGCCAACTAAAAACTAGTAGTCTCTAGTAAATACCTTTTTCTCCCAGGCCTAACAGCAGAAGTCATGAAGGCTGAAGCTCCACTGAACAAACTAGACCACTGCTCCTCCAAGTCTAGGCTCCACCTCCACACCACAGACCATAGTCCACCACCCCACCCAAATCTCTAACTCTCGAAGTCTAGGCTCCGCCTCCACAAACCACAGACCAGCAGAAGTCACGAAGCTCCAGACCCAATGCCTTCCCAGTTCGCTAGAATCGCCTCTCCCTTCTCCAGATGTCGATGATTTTGTTGTGGGTTTTGGGTTAATGGTAAATTGGTATGGTAATCAGGTAATGGACTTGGAATTTAATGGGCAAGGTGTTTGGACTCATAATTGGACCTTATTTTTCAAAATAAAGACCCAAACAAACAATAAGGAAGGAAAAAGAAAAAAGATTGCAGGCGGGCCGGCAACAGCATCTTCTTCTTCACTTCACCTTCCCGACGGTCAAACAATGAGGCAGGGATTCCGACGGATCCAGCACAAGCGGCCGCAAGGGGCTGGCCAGGTGCTGGATCCTCCCCTAATGTAGGGGGTTTCGTCTTAGTGGATTAAGGAAATATTGACTATTTGAGTTCTACATAATTCCTTAGTGGCTTATATAGCCCTGTCTAGAATGTAGAAAAGCTCCCATTATTCTCTTACAAGTACTAGTGTCATTCACTTCAAGAAAATCAATAGTCAAACTTTTTTCAAAATTCTTTCGCAACTACAATAACTGAACTAAGCATGAAAGTGGAATAGACTACTAATGAAATTCCTCATCGACTACTTTTTTCAAATTCACGAATGAATTTTTAAGTGCTAGTATTATGTAGAGATTGAGAGAGAGACTTTTAAGTTATGATAATCTATATATTTAGTTTTAGTTAAAAAAATTGATAAAAAATTAAATCAAAATCAATGATTAATTCTAATTATATATTTTACAAGACTCACAACTTTTATTAACTTTTCAACCAATGTTTTATTGTCTTTTATCAAAATTTATTAAAAAATTAATTTTTAGCATCAAACAGGATCTAATCTTGATTTTTAAGTAGCAACCACATAAATTCTTGATATTATAGGAATACAGTCCGTGGTCTCAATCCTTTTGAGAGCCCAATATATTTCTTCATGGGCCGTCTACAAACATGAGGCCCAATTATCACAGATTCCGACAATCTAAGTGATTGGTTGGAGGCATCTGACAAATGGATAAGAAAATCCAGAGCCCAAATAGATATATATTCTAGAATCTTCTGTAGCAGCTTCGCGGAATTCACTACAACGAATGGAATACTAGTTTCCGCATAACAATGGCTGCCGTGACACGTGTCCCTTTCCCCAATCCAATTTCAATTGCCACCCATAAATGTGTACACTCCATTAGTCGCCCTAGGCTACCAGAATTATCCGCCATTTTTCCTTTAAATGCCAAAAAATTGAGGAGATTTTCGGTGGTCGCGATGGCTGATTTAAGTAAAAGCACTGTTCTTGTTACAGGAGCTGGTGGCAGAACTGGTAAAAACCTTTTAATTTTTCTATCTATTTCGTAGTGGAAGCTTTACTTAAGATTTATGTCATATATAGTTGTGGTATTCCATGGTTGAATTGTTTTTATTTGGATGTAGTAATTGCTTAGGGCTTTGATATTTATGGTTTATTTGGAACATTTACTGTTTTCACATGTTTACAAGAGTAGAAAATGTTTGTGTGGAACCTAAGCGCCCGCGATCGCAGATAAGTATTAGAATTGATGAGTCAAGAGTATCGTCCTTGAAATAAATTCAATTCAAGTTTACTAGTTATATATGAAATTCGAATTAGGTAAAGAAAAGAGAGGTTTTGATTTGATTTATGTTAAATTAATCTAAGAGAGCGATTTAATTGTGGTTTTTATCAATTTATGGATGATTATATTGGAATTTGAATCCGTTCATTGCTATCTATTTCAATTCATGATTCATAATCTCGTTCATTCATACGTTCTTGACAATCGATAAAACAATTGTTGGGAAATTACAGCACAATGCAGACATCATTAACAGAATTCTAGCAGCTCAAACATGCAATGACAAGTTCAATATTAATCCCAGAATCATAAACCTCAAAGACAGAGTTCTACATACTCTCCTTCCAATCAGAATTAACAATATGTATATCAATGTTATAACTTCAGTATACACTATGCAATCAAAACATACCAATGGCATTTACAGATTAAGAAACCGGCAGAATACTATCAAACTATAAAACTGAAATCATAACTTAAACTCGAACAAGACAGAACATTAAATGGACAGAATAGAGGGCAGAAAGATACTCCCCTTTCTACCGGCCGGAGAACGCCATGGATGCTCAGTTTCCACCTCATATTTCGGCTGAAATGTAGGCTCAGGAACAGCCACCATGCACCGCAAAAAGGCCATCCAGAGAGAGATTAGAACCAACCACGAAACACCCAACACTTGGCTTGGGTCATTGACCGAACGGTCTACCAAATCAGCCAAGGAGAACGCCCAAATTAGACCTATCGAACCCCAGAGAAACCCAACCTCTTAACCACTATTTCAGGTCTAAGAGCACACAAGGAATTTCTTCAATACATAGGCTAAAGGTTGATTGACAGGGACAAGAAAATGGGAAGAACCCAGAGAGCAGGCTGGAGATCGAAGAAGAGAAGAGAAGTGTCTTGAGGAAGCCAAACCCACGTGATATAGGTCAAAGCCAAAGAAACATATCTCAACCACTTTGATCTCAACCGTAGATCTTCATCCAACGGTTATAATAGAAACCCGGCCCATTAAAGTGTTAAAGAGAACCACTTACCAAGCCCAATAAGCCCACAACAATGATATATAATTTTCTTTTCTAAAACAAATTAAATATATCCTAACCACGACCCGAATCTATTTCTAGCCCAAATTCGAAGGATTAAAATGCATTAAAATTTATACCACAACAAGCAATTAATTATCTAATTGGTGGCCAATCAATTAAATAATGCAATGAGTATGCAAAATTAATCAAGAAATGCAATAAACAAACTAAATTACTAGTTTTGAATTAAAACAAATAAATAATAAGGTCCATCTTCATCCAATAACAAAACGGATCTGGTCTAGCATGATAATATATAAATTACAAAAAGAATAATTAAAAAATATCACCTGGATCATAATAGAATGTAAAAGATGTTGATCTTCAATTCCAAGATTGAATTCTTTGAAATTTTGATGTAATTGACATTCAATTCCTTACTAGGGCTTGACCTCATCTCTCAAAATATAGTAATTGACCCCTTGTTCTTGATGAATTTGACCATAATATTTTGTATGAAGAGGCAAGAGAGGTTTTTTCCAATGTGCCCTCATTCTTTATTTCTAAGAGCTAGAAAATAAGTCAAAATTGCGTCCAATTTGAGTTCCAAAAGAGTTTGAATCGCGAAAGAAAACTACTGATTCATTTGAGAAAATGGCCCCCGCGCACACAGGCATAACCACCCCACGGCACTTTCGAGCCAACTCTCAATTTTCCTATGAATTGCCCTCACGTGCGCAGGTTCTCTTCGGTTTGTCCTTGAACCACTTTCAGTATTTTGGCCATAACTTTTCTCTACATATATCCAATTGAGATAATTCAAAATACGTTAGAAAGATAATCCAAAGGCTACAATTTTTCTAGAAATATAATTTTTCCAATTCGAACGTTTCCTATCCGAAAAATAGGTCTCAAGTTGAGGCTAAAAATTCGAAGCATAACTTTTTTCGCTGGAAATTGATTTATAAAAATGCTTCTACTATATTTTACTCCTTTGACCTCAAATTGCATCTTATATGATCTTCAATCATCATTTTGTGGTATGAATCAACTATTAGATGTTTACACTTTGATTCCCAAATTTTGGATTTCCTTCGTTTTAGCAGTTTTTTGTTTCTTTCTTCCAAATTCACCAATTTGCATTGAATTCAACTTAACAAACATAATTAACACAAAATTAAGCTGTAACTCATCCAAATCACTAATAAATACTCTAATTTAATGGCTTAAATAAGTGTACAAAATACATGTATCAAATACATTAACATGCTTGCAAAAATTAGATGACCTATTAATGTTCTTTATTTATCAGCGTTGCATCAGTTTGTTAAAGGTACAGTTATTTGGAATGAAAATGAGACGAGCTGTTCAAGAATCAAGATTACATGTCCAAAATCCTTCCAGACGTTCTTATATATTGCTTTATCACTGCAGGCCAAATTGTTTATAAGAAACTGAGAGAGAGGTCGGACCAGTATGCTGGTAGAGGATTGGTAAGAACTCAGGAGAGCAAGGAAAAGATTGGCGGATCAGATGATGTTTACATTGGGGATATAAGGACAGCAGAAAGCATTGCTCCAGTAATCCAAGGTATTGATGCCCTCATAATTCTCACAAGTGCGGTGCCAAAGATGAAACCCGGGTTTGACCCATCAAAAGGTGGCAGGCCTGAATTCTACTTTGAAGATGGAGCAAATCCTGAAGAGGTATCTATTGTAACTATTATAGAATCCATCGTATTTGGGGTTCTTTGTGCCAGATACTATCTTATTCTTGCTCTTTTATTTTTTTATTATTAATTTTTTAGGTTGACTGGATTGGGCAAAAGAATCAGATAGATGCTGGTGAGAATTTGTATTAGTGTACTGTTTCCAATAGCTTCTCTTTCGGATCATTATATTAAAATTTCTAATATGTGTTGAACAGCCAAAGCTGCGGGAGTGAAGCAAATTGTATTGGTTGGATCAATGGGAGGAACAGATCTAAACAATCCCCTAAATAGCTTGGGAAATGGAAACATATTGGTATTTGCATCTTTTGCTTATATTGCCTTTTATGTTTTTCCCCCTCATCTTTATTGCACCGCCTTTTCCTTGTGACATGGGGCTGCGTTTGGATCCCTTCCTTTCAATTGTTCCACTTACATTTTACTTTTTGGCATTTTTTATTTCTTATTTTTTCTCCCTTCTCGTGGTTGTTTATACACTCACGGAGCGATAGATAATTTTTGAACTGCATCTCATGCAGTCAATTAATTTTATTAATCTGTGAAAATGGTTCTCCATTGTTCTTATTTGAAACTTAGGAAAAGAAATGTAAAAATCTTTCTTATTTGCATAGACTCACTTCTTATTAACATCATATGGGTACATCTTAGATGGAAGTGGAAACTCCAGGGTAAAATAATGAGTAGAAAATGTCTTTCTAACAGCCAGTTTTTATATCACTACTTCGCATTTTCATAAAAAAGTTTCACTAAATACTAACTGATATACTGAGTACAGGTATGGAAGAGAAAGGCGGAACAATATTTAGCTGACTCCGGAATTCCATACACCATTATTAGGTATGCACTTGTTTTCACTTCTACACTTAGTCCTTGTTTGATTCCCATTTTTTTCAAAATACATTTCTCTCTTTTCTTTTTAACTACACATTCTTCAATAAAATAATATTATATGCAAACCCAAAACTTTTCCTTATATTTTAACCACATTCTCTATCAATCTACTATTCCAAAATGCATTCTTAACCTTTTAATGGGGGGGCTCAAACAGGCTGCTAGTAAAGATTACACGTGCACATGTTTTTGCATGCAAAAATTAGGTGCAAGTAGTTACAAGTACATTTTACCCCAATATAAATTTGGGATGCAATATTAGTTTCTTTTCCATTAATCTGCAGCAATACCCAGGAACTTGGATGGAACGATTGCTAGGATCCTTGTTCATGGGTGTACGCTATTAATATTAATTAATCTAACAGGATATGATTTATTTACAGTAATGCGCATCAACTTTTTAACTCTGTAATGCATAGATTAATATTACATGGAAAGGTGGTAGATGGGTTCTCGGAACACATTTATAAAGTTAAAGAGCATGTTCCAGAGAACTCTTACTGGACTAGATGTGCTTTGTGGTAGTGAGTGATGGTCATCAACATGCAAAATGTGCATAAGATGGAAATAGCATAAACAAGGACATTAAGATGACTATCTGGTCATACTATAATCAAAAGTGAAGGTGGAATCAATTGAAGATTAAGGAGAGTGTGGGTTACATTTTGGGATATGTAGGCTACATTTGGTGCGACGTATTAGATCTTCTAAGAAATTCAATATAAAATTATAATGGATAGTACTAGGTAGATGGTATAATGGATAGTACTAGGTATAAGGCATTTATTATTCTTTAATTTTTCATTCAAATGATAGTCATTTGCATTATCAACCGTGTAAGATAATAAGGAAATAGTAAACTAGAAGTACTGGTTCAATCCTTTGAACAAGTTAATAAGGAAATAGTAAACTAAAATTAAAATGACCTATCTGGGATGTAGCTCTGTATGAATAAAGCGGTGTAAGGATTTATCAACTCAGAATTTATTGAAAATAAAACTTATTTTATTGTTGTGATTTGTCAACTATGTATCATCCTAGTCTGCATCAACATACGACAAATGTACATACTTGTTTATTTTTTTTCTTATGAACTACGCCTCTGTTTGAGCCACATTTTCATTTTTCTACTCATTTTCAATCACACATTCTTCAATAAAATAGTATTTTTCATCACATCAATAACTTTTCCTTCTTTTTCAACCACATATTCACCATCACATCACAACACAAAAAAAAAAAACAAAAAAATTACGTTCTTTCCATTTTAATGTGCATCAAACATATGAATTTTTCTTCTTATGCTCAAATTGATTTTATTGAGAACTAATGTTCTGACGATCTTCATGTGTGTAGACTAGTGCTTTCAGGACAAAAGGATCTTAATTTCCTTTAAACTACTGCTGCTATATAATTGCGAGTTTATTTAGGAAACAAGCGACAAAGATATAATGATATTGAAATATTCTGTTCTTTAACTAGGGTCCTGATTTTTTAATCAGATCATTCAAATTGTTTTTTTTTTTTTAAAAAGTTGATTTTTCATGGTTTCACAGTGAGATGCTGATACTTTGATAATGCTCAATTCAGACTCTCTAAGATTTCCTGTGTGTTCCATTTTTCAGTTTTATTTTGTAATTCCGTCATTACTTTTATCTGTTGATTGGTATAGGGCTGGTGGCTTGCAAGATAAAGAAGGAGGTGTAAGAGAACTGCTTGTTGGAAAAGATGACGAACTCCTTAAGACTGAAACGAGAACTATTGCCAGAGCAGATGTTGCAGAAGTCTGCATTCAGGTAAAGTATC